CAGCACGAATAGGGTCGTAGTCCGCGTCCAAAACTTTAACTAGGCTGAGATCAGGATCTTGTAGCACCTGAGCATCCGCCAACAGGAAGATGGCGTTCTGCCAGTTGTTACACTGTAGCCCTCTCATCGGCTGACCCCCACTTCCTCCCCGATAGACTTGACGAACGTCTTCCATCGATAAGTCGTTCAAGGTGGTGGGAAGTGAGCGTGCATCAAGTCGAAACTGATCCCTTGCTTTTGCGACAGCGTCAGGCATCTTATCTGCCCCCTCCATCTTGGGGAGACCTCGTTCCACACCATCGGTGATGTTCTTCAGCAGCCTTTCCCACTGCTCATCAGAGCCAGGGCCATAATATGTTCTGTAAATCGTATAGCCCCAACGTACCAGAAGCTGTACTCGATGCTCTTCCGCCTCGCAAAGGTGGTCGAGAAAATCTGAAATGTTTTCCATAGCGGTCGGGGGAGCAGAGGTGAGGAGTGGCTCGGGTGGATTTGTACGTATGAGTTTGAGTAAACGTTGGTAGAGGTATTGGCTTTTGGAAAGGCCGTGCCAAGTAGTAAAATAAAGCAGTTCGTCCAGCACATTAGGACGCTAGTATGGGGGGCATCCCTGCAATTTCGCCTCTGGGTTAGCACCGGACGGGCGAGGTATGCGGCACGGTCGCTGCTGCCTGCGCAATTGTGATGTGGACAGAAATGGTACTCATGCTACGGGATCGATGTAATTAAAGCGCAATACCATGGAAGCTTGTACGCCTCACGCCCTTGATCTTGAAGAACTTGACGAGGTCGTCATCCCGCTTTTGCTCGAGCTCTTGGACGTCTTTACCTTGAAGCTCATCGGAAACACTTGAACCTAAGGCATCAATGCTATCCTGTGACCAGTCGAACTTGTGTTCCTGCATATCCTCAACCCAGACTCGGCTTGCAGGTCCTAGATGCTCAAGAAGGTGCTTGAACCCTTCACTGCCACCGCCTCCTCCCATTGCATTCGCCAGGAATGGCCCAACCATGGCCCACCGAGGCCCCAGACTAGTAGTAACGCAAGCGTCTGGCCACCTGTGGTCAGCAAACCAAGGAAGACATGGGGAAAACGAGAGACTCACCAAGGTCCTGGGCGGTGACTATACCACGAGCCACTAGGCTGTATGCCTCATTACAAAGGGCAGCTTGAAGACGGTTGGCGACAAAGCCGGGTACTTCCTCCTTGATGTGAACAGGACGCCGTCCCACGGACTCGTAAAAGACCATCGCATTTGAGACAGCTAACGCACTTGTGTTTGAATGTGGGACAACTTCCACAAGTGGCATGAGATGAGGTGGGTTGAATGGGTGGCCAATGAGTACTCGTTCAGGGTGCTGACATTGGCTGATGAATTTCGAGCTTGGAATGCCTGAAGATGAAGAGGCGATGACAACATCTGGTCGAACAGCCGCGTCGATCTCGGCAAGAAGTTTAGTTTTAAGATCTGGCCTTTCGGGCGCATTCTGTGCCATCCTATTAGCTGGTGAACTTGGAGAGCAGCTGATTATATGCACTCACCTCTTGCAAAAAGTCCACGTCTTTGTAGTGTCTGCCTAAAGTCGCGCCTACAAACTGGTAGTTCGAAAGCGAAGCGCTGGATGGAGAGTTCGAATCAGCTTGTGACACACCGGATGAGTCTAGTGTTGCAATTACTTTTCATCAAGACCCATGGTCTCTAGCGCAGGCCAGATACTCTCCAGATAGGACGCCAGTTTCTCCTCTGCGCCAGGTGCCGGGTCTGCAACAATCACACGCAGGCCATGAGCGAGAAAGAGACCGGTCCACGATGCTCCAATCACGCCAGTGCCAACAATACCGACAGTACGAATGGACATATTCGAAAGATACCAGAGTTCCAAGACTGCGAAGGATGGTTGCAAAGGTCTGTGAGGAAAGATTGGATGGTTACTTTATAGGGGCCGTCGTCCCTTTAATGCGATCGCAGGAACTGAATCGACTTTGGTACGCATCGGCCGGGCTGTTACATGGAGGTGTACATTCAGATGGTGTGCCTACACGGTGAGGGCCGGGAAGCTGCGACCAGCGTTAGTACAGGCCTTTCTTTTTCGCACGAAGTTCAACAGCGTCAACATAGTATATCCGCTCAAAAGACCTACTGAGGAGTATTGCCTGCGAATGAGCTGCAACCAGTGTCGCATCGGATCTTCCCGAGGTCCCATGGCTCGCCCGAAAGGTCGGCCGAGTTCTGTTAGAGAGTCTACGACATTGCACGTTGCATCATGCAAGGTTTGGTCTCCAAACATCATCATCACTTGATAGTAGAACAGATTGAATACCGTCCCAACCAATCCATGGATGAGAGCCAATTGGCGGTGCCGAGGCAAGATTGGCCGTCAGCCAATGGGACGTTGAGCCGGGAAAGAGGCCCAACCGAGGCCAAAGCTCTTCACGTGGTTCGATCGGCTCCCCCGGGCCTCACCCAACGTGCCGACATTCTGTTCTGCAGGCGCAGCCTAGACGCTGCACCTGGCATCAAGACTTCGGCGTTCGAAGATGCTACTACCGTCTACGGGCGTAAGTCACAGCAGCCAATGGACTGTTACTCTTCCCAATACGGTTGGCTGCGGACTTCCAGGCATCGTTACACACTGGTTTCTTCAAAAAGCAGTTCATCCATACACTATAAATGTCATCAATGTCTACGGATTTCCTCCCTGCACGTCCTTTTACTTCTCACTCAGAGAAGCATTCTCTTCGTTTCCTCCACCGCTTAGCTAGTATCAACGTTCTCCAAGCACGCTTGTACCCTCGTCATGGCTGTGCATCAAACGACAAAGGACACCTTTGGCCCTGGAACATTCGTTGATCGCGACTTCATTGGTGTGCCTGCCGATGCGAGTAGGCTACTGAAACACCTGGCTGGTATCACACCTGGCTTCACGACCGAGGAGGCTGCCCTGAATGATGTCGAATTCTCTGGGGGGGAACTACCCATCATCCCAGGACCCTTGAAATCGCAGGTCTTTGTGCGTACTCATTCCTCCCTAAATTCCAAAAATCACAATGTGCTCACTCTCTTTGCGTAGTCCGCCGTTCTACATGCCATGATCGGCATTGTTGCCAAAGAGATCAGCGCACTTAAAGGCATCCAAACGGGTAAAATTCACATCGACACTGACAAGTGTGGTCTGTACCCTGCCACCGTAGCTCTCGTCGACATCGACGGTAAAGGACTCGGTGATGTCAAGACCGATGGCACCCTTACAAAAGCCAGTCTGGATGTTGACAAGGGCTGCGTCAGCAAGAACCACATGTATATTCGCTCGTGGGCCATCTACCCGACTCGGGATCCTCGCGTCTGGTATCAGGTGATGAGTAACCTCAACGCCCCAGCGTTCTTCAAGGCCTACGATATCGACGGAGAAGCCCCCGTTGGTACCAGAGAAGAGGCATATGAGCTGATCAAATCCACCATCTCCAAGTATTCAGCCGCTGAACTTGACATTAAAAACTTGGAGAACGGATTTTGCGGGCAGACTTGCTTCACACCACAACACTGGAAAGAAACGTCGATGGGCAAGCGACTGGCTACGCATCCTTTGATCGACTACGCGCAGGTCAAGGGCACTTCGGCATTGCCACCTGTACCCTTTCCACAGACTGGTGATGCTCGCCCGTTGGCCGGCATCAAGGTTGTTGAGCTAGCCCGCGTAATTGCTGGTCCAGCAATGGGAGCGGCTCTTGCAGCCCTGGGTGCGGACGTCATCAAAGTTCAAAGCCCCGACCTCCCCGATCTGCAGGTACGAGGCGCTCTACGCTCTATAATTACATCGATCTGACATTCACTAGCCTTTGAGTATCACGCTTACCGCTGGTAAACGTACATATGCGTTGGACCTTCAGAAAGAGGACGACAGGCAAGCCTTGACTGACCTTATGGCGGATGCGGATGTCATGATCCAAGCGTTCAGGCTACGCTCTCTCGAGCGGAAGGGCTTCGGGCTACAGGACTTGGTTGAGATGTCGAGGCAACGTAACAAAGGAATCGTCTACATTGATCTCAATACCTATGGACCGGACGGCTACTACGCAGAACGCCCGGGATTCCAGCAGATTGCCGATGCCGCTTCTGGATGCTCTTATGTCTGTGGCAAAGCTTATGGATTCGAGGACGGTGTCAGTGTGCTCCCTGCTCTTCCCGTTGCCGACATGCTAGCTGGCGCGGTCGGTGTCGTCAACGTTCTCCTTGCTCTACGTGATCGCGCAACTAAGGGCGGATCGTATCACGCCACCTCAGTCCTAACGTCGGTGGATGTGATACAACTGGGAGAGGCATTTGGATTGTATTCGCCGGATACAGTGAAGAGAATCCAGGACAAGTATGGTTTCAAACCCATGACACCAGACCTGCACGTGGAAGATCTTCTCTACATCCTTGGGGAGGCTTGGTCAAGCCATTCGGACCTTCTGCGCCGTGATGGATACATGGTCACTTTCAACGATACGGCGTATGGCAAGAAGCACTCAATATTATCTCCGATCGTTCGGTTTGACAACGATGATGTCAGTCCTCGATGGAGCCATGGACCTGTAGGATATTGTTCGTCAAAGTATGAGACTTGGGCATGATCATGCGTTGGCGATACCGCTCGTTATCATTACAATTAGATAAGACGACATTCTAGTCAGACTATAGAACACGATGGTCTTACCACTGCCATCCTCATCACATGACCAAAAATGCTCCTCCTGTATCCGCTGCACACCATATCCCAGCATCCTCGGGGTGGCACAACCCACTGGTTTCATTGAAGTTATGGACAAATACTTCATGCTGCAACCCTAAAGTAGGCTCAAAGCTGCCACAACTGGTACGAGGGACGTTTTCATGGAGAGCCAGTCGATTGAAGGTATTTCTGTATGGTCGTTCGCCGCGATGCGAGTGTTTCCAAGGTTGAGTTGTATTGCAATCCTCATTGGAGCAGGTGTTGCGAAGAGATCAACAGGATCTGAATCACCAATGGCCCCTCTTGTTCACGAGCACAGCCTCATCGTCAGTATGGTAACTCTCTGCGACCTCTGTCGCGCCGTCCAAGCTCTTCGTTTCCGGTTCTTCAATGACAATCACCGGTCGGTTCATCGCGCCATAGTTGTCCGTGTGCCCCTTCGAGATCTCCACCTCGACATGTGAAGGCCGGCGACTGTCCTTTGGGGATAAACTGGGCTCTGAAGTCACAGTGTATTGTGTTGTGGCCTTGATGTTGCAGTCATAGGCATTGGCGCTCTTGCCGATGTTGCCGAGCTGGACGCTGCCCCGGGTGGAGGCGAAAGTATTGCTATAAGGTTCCGATGCATGGGTGGATGGGTCCTTGAACTCGTGTACTGCACCAGTGCGGTTGAAGTTCGAGATGGCGATGCGTCTGATCAGGTTGGCCATGGCCATTTCGATGTTGAGTTTGACGAGGTAGCACAGCGAATGGAATTGAACGTAGCTGAGATGGCAAATCGTTAAGATAGGACTAGACGCAATGATGAAGAGTGACTTACACAAAGGCTTTGGGTATAGCGGTAGCGGCGATAAGCATAACATCCATTAGAATCGACAGAACGATGATGCGCTGGTTGAATTGAACGATTTTGTTGTCTGCATGTAAGTATAACTGTCAGCGCTAACCTTGTAGTATAACATTCGCATGAACTGGCTTACACTTTGTGAGACCGTTGCGGATCAAATTGTTCTTCACCATTCTCAAGAAGTACCAGTTGAGTGCCAAATCGATAATGAGGAATAGGCACTTCTCAGTGCGATCCCAAGCCGCTGAGATGAACTCCCAATAGTGGCTAATTTGCATCCGGGCTGGGATCCAGATAATGAAGCCACTGATGATCACTACCGTGATGTAGACAGTTACTGCGATAAAGATATGGTCACCGTGCTTGCGGTTCACATCAATAACTCTGATGCGGTTGACGATAATCTGGAAAAGAAGCATGACCTGGAAGCTCCAGCAGGCCACTATGCAGCATTAGTATAATAGTGGAAGGATAAATTCGGTAAATGCAACTTACAAATTCCAAAGTAGAAAGCAAAGCCTGCAAAATATCAGCACTGTCTTTTCGAGGGCATGGATGATACTCACTCGCTGGAATGTGTTTTAGCACATGCAGGTAGCCAACAAGACCCAACGCGAAACAAGCCCCCAGCTCCAACCAGGCCATCCATAAATAAGGACTTCGGACCGGGGTTTTTGCCAATTTGGTTTGGTGGTAGATCTGCCACAAAGCGAGCAGGACGTTTGCCAATGTGAGAGCCCATGGGATGGAAGCGACAAGGACATCGAGGTTGGTGAACTCGTCTTCTGTGTAATCGGGTGAGATGAGTGGTCCCCAAGGCTCGCTCACGACGCCGGGTCGGTAAAGGTCGTTCAGCATGGCGTGTACTGGAGGCGCTCTCGTAGCAAATGAGTGTTGTTTGCGACCACGAGACTGGACTGAGTGCTGCTCAAAATACAGCTGCTGGCCTGCGAGGCATAGTTAAAGGATCTCAAACACCACCTGCGGAGATGCTCCCGAGTTCCTGGCTCCGACAAAGTTTGGCCATGCACGATCTTGATGGTATTTGTGGGCGGGAAGTTTAAACATGCACCATCATGATGGTGTCTGTGGACGGGAATCGGCATCTCGCCAATATAGCGTCGATCGGAACTACATCCGCTGCCACGTGCTGGGGAACGTCTAGAGCGTACTCTGGACGACTTTAAAGTTTTGATGAGTGCATCGAGGGTTCTCCGGCGCGAGTCTGGTATTAGTCTAGAGATTGGACATTGTCGGAGTTGCCAGATGACGACAGGTCAACGTGGCTGGAGACCTTGGCTTGGGCAGTCGGCAAATGCCTAGCGTCACCGTCGAATGAATGTCTACATTCCTACCCTACAACCTACCCTAGAGGTGCGCAATGGAACAAACAGAGAAGTTGAGTGATGGGGCGTGTCAGAAACCTCTTGATAATGATATTATTGCTGCTGCTGTTGCCTTGTTCGACCGCTCCCACCCTGAACGCTCGTCATTCAACTGTCACTCGGCATCAATAGGAAAGCCGGGCAACATGCTATTTTCCCCAGCAGCCCAACGATATCATCATGCATTTTGCTAGTCACTGGCCCCTGAAAGTCTTTTGAGGCTCAAAATCTACCAGAAAAGCAATTATCAGGTACACCATCGGACCCCCGAGGCGCGCTACGGTGGCTCACATCTCGGCCTGACACTATCCGGGGTCTTCTTCCAGGACGCACGTCAACCCTGTCCAAATCAGTATGTGCCTGGAGTTTCACGTGGTAGAGACTCGCCAGAGGCAGCCCACTAACGTAGTGTGGCGCTGGAGCATGCGGATAGATCCTGGAGAAATGTCCGCCTGTGGCTGATTCGTCCTGGAACGAAGGGAAACCAATCGGTGGCGTAATAAACAGGAAGTCGTTGAAGGACCCAGACTCCGGCTTCCGTCGCTAAATATTTGAGAACCCGTTAGCGGCCGTCTTCCAGGACGCCAGAACGATGTACTGGGCGCGGCATAAATCGCCGAAGGCCAGTGAAGGTAAGTATAGTCGCGTTCACTACCATCACCAGATGCGTTCTTCGTGTTTCGTATTTCGTGTTTTCGTCAGACCCTGAGCACCACCAAACGACTACTCCATGCTAAGAGTCTTGCGAAATACGAAATACGACTGTGCCTGATGCTACTATACCTAGGCGTAGACCCGTTCACGAACCGTCAATTTGAATTTGAATTCCTCATCTGTCTGTTCATTTCGTCAGTGGTTCTGATCTACGTTCAACCAAGTCGGTCCAGCGAATTTGTCAACACCCCATCGGCGCTTCAACATCCCCACTTCAACCAGCCATGACAAAATCCTATCCAAGCTATCGCAATCGTACGGCATACCAAGATTCCTTCTTGATAACCAGCCCGGACTAGATTCATGTCCCGACCAGAGCTAAAGGCGCGCGAAGGGTGGGCAATAGGCATACGATGTCATGGACGTTGCTCGTTGTGTCGAGAAGGAGAGCAGTGAAAGCGGAATGAGGTCCCTGCATGCCTCTAATCCTAATCCTGGTGCTACAAAAGATCATTCATAACAAACATGGCACTATCTTCTTCCTATTTTACACGTTTCCTGAGATTTTTTGCTGCAGAAAGAACACTATTCTAGCACATGAACTGCGCCAGCTAGAAGCAAGCTCCATAGTGGGCGTCGAGATAGGTTTTTGGTATTTGGAAAGAAAGAAGATGATTTTGAAGTTGGAGAGAGGACTGCGCAAAGAATTGGGCTTATATAGTAAGTCCCACTGACTTTGCCAGACTATGCTTCAAGTAGAAGTACCGTTCAGATCCATGGAAATCAGCGACTCGGGTATATACATCACCTGCGCAGTGCTCCAAAAGGGTTCATATCAATGTTGTCGCTGATTTCGAAGTCGCAACATGGAAATTAGTCAGCGATGTTTTGGTGGACGCAGTCTATATCTACATACTCGGTGTTTTTGGAGCTAGCGGCTTTTCAAACTCCATTCAAGTGGTGTAATTTTGCAGAATGCCCAAAATATTCTCCATGGTTTAATCGCAGTCCACTTCAAATCATGAACGATTCAATCACCGCTTTAAGACCGATCACTTGGGCCTCAACATGAATAATTCGGTATCAAGTTTTTCTTTTCTGACATATTGAAGAATGTGCCGACTGGCAAAGGCGAACCATGTGTTGCTACATCCTTGATTTTGGGTGCTGGTCAGGGAAGAGAACCAAAGCACCGAACAACATAAGGCGAGAAGGCAGCTATTTTGGTAGCGTTCCAGCTTTTCGCTGAAGATGGTGGAAAGGAAGAGTTTAGTGCACTTGCGGTAGCAAGACTCTTTTATAAGCGGCTCGCGCTAACAACAAAATGGCGAGTGGGCAGAGTCTGAGGCGGAGCGACATGAAGGCGACATATGGATCTTTTAGAGTGTAGGAAAAGGTCTCAACCCCATGACTCCATCTTGTGTCGATTTTGGGAAAGCGACTCCCACAACATGGATATCTTCTAGGAAAGTTTTGGGAGCAAGTGCGCAATAGAAGCGTTGACAAGTCTTCTCCATCGGTATTCCGAGTTTATGTTTTAGGTGTACGGGCAAGTCAAACCACCAAAGCACTCCACACTTCATGGGCAGTGACAATGGGTCTTTTGATCATTCGCGGCGATTTCTCTCCATAGCGTCCGATTCGGCTCTTTCGGCCTCTCTGCCCATATCCATAACGGCAGTCGCATTTTGCCGACTCGAACAGCACGGACAGGTCATGCGTGCATCTGTCGTTGGTTTTAAGACTTATGTCGAGAGGAAAGAGTCTCGCGCAGACATTCGTGGTTGTGAAACATCTTTGGTAAAGGTTTCTTCTTCTGTGAGGTAATGAGGAAGAAGAAGAGAACCAAATCGAGGGTTTATATACCCAACGAGAAGACCAGGGAAAGCCGGACAAGCCAATGATGTTCAGGCCAGACTGCTTCGGCGACATACGTACTTTCTTTCGAGGATTCGGCACAGTCCATGTAAACTTCAGAAGCTGGTTTGGTGTCGCAAAGCACCACCCAGAACAACATGTCTCTGACAAAACCTGTTTTTGGGAACAGCAGCCGAAGGTCGCTCATAACGCGTCACTCCTTGGTTTTGTACTTTTGGTGTTCAAAATGGGAAGAGCACGCCTGGACGTCGTATCCGCACACAAGAGCCGAGTCCATCAGTTCGCATGTTAGGATTTTCTGGAGAGTGTAGAAAGAGCGCAGACTCGCTCTGGACATTGCACAGGCGTCGGATCATTTTTGGTGTCCACAACAGACTGGAGGATGATGAAGGAAGTAAGAAGAGAACAGCCGTACGACAGCTTTTATACCCGTCCTGAGTTAGCTCGCTGGTAGCTTGATCGGGTCCGAAGCTCTTCTCATCATACTTCTCCATGGCGATTTTAATCAAGAAGAGCAGCCGCACATGCAGGTTTCAAGCGTGATTTTCTCAGACCCGAGAACCTCTCATGGCATACTTGTAGCTTCTCTTTTGATATATCCCTACTCGAAGATCCGCACAGCCGCAGTCTTCTCATGTTCTTGTTGACACCCTTCTTTTTTTTTGCGAACGAGCAAAGTCCATAGGTTGCTTGAAAATAAGTTTTGGTGGCCATATGAGCTCTTAAATATAGTCTTTTGATGTGGTAGGTGTTAGACAGCGGAGGAAGGCGAGGAAGAAACCATGGGAACGTTATCTCCAAGCTTTCTGGATGAAGTTTTGAAAGAGCAGGACAGCCGGCAGAATCATAAGGTGTTCCTCTGACTTTTTGGCAATATTGCAAGAAGTGTGTGATGAGGGAAGAAGAAAGCATCTGGGAGGAAGGAGCACGCTTTTATACCCAACACTGCGTCACGGGACACTTACATAGAGGGCGAGAAGATGCATCCATCCACACATAACGGGCGAGAAGCTGTGCTCAGAGATCTCCAATCGTATACGTCTGAAACGAAATTAGAGTGATCGTAATGTAGAATGAAAATTCGAATGAGACGCCATAGAAGACGCTGTGCTAGCCATCACGGCTCTATGTTACAAATGTACAAAGAATGAACACTTGAGCTGCTGGCGAGCGCGCTTCAACGCCTCAACCACTATACCTCAGCTCAAGCCAGCGAACTCGGATATTACACTAGTTCCACGCCTAATACTCCCAGCCTTCCCACCCCTACCTCAACGCCCCGTCCCTAAAACTCAATCCTCAATAGCAAAGTCATCCCCACCATCCGCCTCCACACTCTCCCTCCCCTTCTCGCCCGGCGCAAAAATATCAGGATTACGATTCTTCAACGCCGCAATCTGACTCTCCTTGAACAATTTAAACTGCTCCGGGTCTTCCTTCTCCAGATTCCTCAACTCTTCCGCATTCTCCACGACGCTGTTGAAGGCCTGTTCCCAGCCTTTGCCCTCAATCATATGCCTCATCTCGTCACCGCTGTAGTTCTGGAAGTATGCGCGCAGGGTACGAAGGTGTTCGGGAAGGCCTTGGTCATCTGCCGTACCGGAGATGAAGGAGACGTGGTTTTCGGAGACGTCAGGGGTGGTGGGGCGGGATGGGTTGAAAAGACCGGTACGGACGCGGTGGCCGAAGCGATGTAGACGTCCTTCTTCGAGCGACATGTGGCGGGATGCGAGGGAGACGTCGGAGTTGTGGCGTGAGCGTAGGGTGGAGGGTTCGTCTTCGTCGGATTGATCGGCGGTGAAGTCTGTTGAGACGCTGTTCTCGAGTGTCGGTACGAAGGAGGTAGGTGGTGAGCTGCTGAGTTTGGAGCTCGTAGTGGAAGCGGCATCGGATGGCTGGAGACGTGTCTCTGGGTATTCGTCCTCGAAGCGTTGGATCATG